GCTTCCAGGAATGTCGGAATGCGCCTTTAAGACGGAAACAGTGGCACGATTACCTTAAAAAATGCTTGATCAGTGGAAAAAAATCTTTAATAAATCAATGCTAAAAGCTGTTTAAACTGACTTATAATTCACATTTTGAGTGGAACCTGAGAGGTGAACCAACCGCTGATGTTAATTCATGTGCAGATTGGTGGTTTCTGTCAGGGAAACGCTAATTAAGTATACATATGTGTTCAACCTATACCTCCCCCTAGCAGCCATTTACATGACTGCAGCAAATTGCCAGCTTTTCACAGGCCAAGGGCAACTTCATACTCATTTCTTTACACATTTTATTTATGTACTGCTAATGAGGAGGCTGTCATATGAGTCTTAGGTATCCGTTCACATTTTTAAATGATAGATATACTGTATATAACCAGGAAAGACACCCCATAAAATCGTTGTTGTAATACACGCTAGTTTCTCCGACTTGCTCTCTGCACTGACAGCTGATTGGCTCTGGCCACTGAAATTATTCTCACAAGGGAGGTATTAAAGCAAAAAAAAAAAAAAAAGGATCTTTGTTCTAATGCAGAGCACGACTTAGATCTGGATGCAGACCGGGACCGGACTAATTGGATTACTGAGCTTCCGAGGTGCAGTCTCACTTCTGCACATGGAAGTGAGGACGTTTGGGATGATCACTGTGAAAAGGTCAAGGGTACAGTCGAGAAACTGAGCGATAGTGTAGAGGTGAAAGGTCAAGCTGGGATGAATGGCAATGGAGTAAGATACAAGCATGTTTCCAGTGTGTACTTTGGGTGTAGGAGGTGGCATACCAGAGCATGGTGTACAATTACAGCGTGTGTTAATGTTAGTGGAGCGCATGTTTCCAGCCACTCCTCTATGATAATACTGTCAGCCAGAAAAGCTTTTTACATTTTTGGAATCTGCCCCTTCAGTGCAGGAAGCAGACCAAATAACCAATTCTCCACTCTTCTGTATTTAAATAAGCAAACACATGATTTCCACACATGAAGACTGCTGGTTAGCTCGATGAACCACACTTTTTTTTTTCTCTTTGCAATTGTAGTGTGTAAAACTACCGTTGGTATCTGTTAAACTTTCACTAAATTTTTCATATTATTATTTTTTTTAATAAAGTGTTAAAGAACAGGTGTGGCATTTTGGGAAACGTGCTTTCCTGTTTCCTTGTTGAGAGCAACATAAGAAACATAAGAAGATTAGTATGACGGTGTTAACGTTAGGAGACCATTAGCTAGATTACAGCTAAACCTCCAGAACTTCCAAAGTTCACTTGAATATGCCTGTTTTGTTCAATCTGTATAAGTAGATATACGTTTTGTTTTGGCAGACTAGCTTTGCCTCTTTGCTTTCAGTGAGGCTAAGCTAACTGTCTCTCGGTTTAGGTTTCATATTTAACAGACAGAGGTGAAAGTTATATTAATCTTCTCACCTTACTAATTAACACATTCTCCCCAAAAGTAGTTCACGCTTTAATAAAGTTCTGAATAGACATTTCTTTCTTTTGGACACCACGCTAGCTTATTCGTTTTGCTTTCAGTAAAGCTAAGCTAATGGTGTCTTAGTTTGGTTTCATATTTAATGGGTAGATATAAAATTTGTATCAGTTTTCTCATTTAACTCTCTGTGAAAGATGAATAAACATATTTCTTTTTTTAAAAAAAATAACATAGTTGCTGTGAAATTACATTTTAAAGATGCAGAGACAGTCACTTTCTCTGCAGGCCATGCGACCTGTTCCATTTGCATCCAGTTATGCTAAGCTAATGGTCTTCTGGCTCCAGTTGGATACATAATAGACAGATATAAGAATACACTTAATGATGAATAGATATAAATATATATGTCTTTGCTTTGCACCCTGGCCTAGCTTTGTCCTTTGCTTCTAGTTAGGCTAAGCTAACAGTCACTTAATTTCTCACTATAATACATATTATTGTAAGGTTTTGGCCTTACTGTGTGATGTGGCGTCACGTTGTAAATTAGTGCTGTGTAAGTAGAATTGAGTTGAACTGAATAGATGTAGACAAGTACAGAAAAGGCGAAGGTGGGGAAGAACTATATTGATGTACCAGAAAACACACGTCCCTATGTACCTCGCCACCCCTGATCCTGTACAAACATATCTCTTTGTTGGGAATGACAGACACCAAGCAGCACCCACGCCCATGACTTGTTTAACAGTCCCATTATGTCATAATCATCTCCTGAAGCCCAGCAGAACCGGCAATCTATACCTCTCTGCAATTTTCATTTGCTGCCTTTTCTGAGATCCGTGTGAGATTTTCTAAATGGCACAAAGCAAAATCAATAGCCGCTCTTCCACAGCGAGGGACAGGAAGCCGGCAGAAATCACGACCAATTTCAAACATCTGTAACATAATCCTGAAAGCACAATTTACTCATCAGGAATGAATCCAGCTAACAAATAAATTCTGTTTGAGGGCAAATTGGAAAAATAATAACCTTCCTGATGCTAGCTGAGTTTAACCCTGTCGATGAAAGTAGGATGTGTGTGTATGAAGCCAGTGTTGTCACAGAGTTCATTGACCCACAGCTGCCGGGACACTTGTTTTTTCATTTCCACTGTATATTAGAAAAAAAAACAACAACCTTAAAAAATTAAGCTTTATGAAGTAGTTTGACTGTCTTGCACGGAATTAAAAAATACTTTTCCAGACTCAGAATCGGCCTTTTTAGGGTGACTATACATGTCACTAAGCATGATCGGTCCATTTGCAGTCAAGGCAAAGCATCTGTGTTACCTTATTTGATATAAATCCGTGCAGCTATTTCTGAAGATGTGATGAACAGAAATGCCTGTTATGCCTGAATAAATGAAACCCCAATTAACGAAACTGCTCAAAAAGAAATCTATTTTTCTTTATTCTCAATTTTAAATAATGTGGTACTGATGACACTGACTAAAACATTTTGACCAGTTGCCAAAAATTCCTTAATGCAGGAAAAAAAAAAACTTTAAATAAGTTTGATACCATTCATGTGTCTTTTAGGTTTGAAACTACAGCTCACAGCCAGTTAACTTGACTTCCCACAATGATTGGCAACAATAAGAAACAACTCCAAAGGTTGAATAAATTCACCTAGCAGCACCTCTAAAAGTGTTTTCAGAAGACTATATGGCTTTTGAATGTGGCATAATTATATATAAAGCCCAAAAGTCAACAGAAACATACAAAAAAAAGCTATTAATAGTCATAAAGAAATATTTAGGTTGAATAATTCATTAATGATGATGTTGGGGCCTTAAGAATCTCCTTCAAAACGAGATCCAGACACACCACACTGCAGAGTACATATGAGACATATATGTTGCTGGCTAGCTTATTAATAAAGTCTATACAATCTGTACATTAGCTGTAGAAATGAACTTAACAATGCTCCAATTTGCTTCCCTTTAGATGTGAGCGCAGTTTAATTCTTAATAGTTGTGGTTGTTTGACGACCTCATACTAGTCACTGTACACTACAAGAAATGTTCCAGCATAGAACTATGTATAACACCACAACATTTCTGTCCCTGGGAACTAATACCTGTGTCAGGAGTGGCTTTTGCTTGTAATGCAGTATTTTCACAGCATGGTTTTGCTACTTTCACTCAAATAAACGATCTACATACTGTCTGCAATTCTACTTCTGGCAAGTCAAACTAGCCATCTCCCTCCACTTCTAATGTATGTTGGAAGCGAAGCCAGCAGACAGATATATGAGTTAGATCAGTTGATCAGGTGCTTTTCCCAAAACTGCTCCTTTATAATGAGCTCTGACTCACGCACTGATACTGGGCCTTGCTTGAAACCTGTCCCGGGGGAATTTACTTTACATCTTAGACACAGAAGGTGTGGCTCCAGCCTCAAAATGGTTCAATACATTGAGTCTCGCCTAACAGAGAACAGGTAGAACCACAGAGACACTGACAATAGCCTGGCTTCCTCAAACAGGGTCAACAAGATGTATTTGTGTTTAGCAAATACGTATAAACACCCATGACTCACTTTGTAGCCTCTTCTAAATACACAGGATTTGCAACTTTTTCCTTCTTTTTTTTTGTTTTGTAGATTCTGTTTACGTCCTCTCATGTTTTCCACGTCGACTTATTGTTGCATGGTGCTCGTCCTTGCTGGGTATCTGGCTGCAAATCTACTAAATATCATCATGAAACCTTTTTTTGTTGTTGTTGTTTTTGCATAAATACATATTAAGAAGACAGAAGAGAAAATAGTGATCACGACGTCCTCAGTGTCTGCTAAGTCAGATAGTGAAACAAAACACAGCAAAAAAAAAAAAGTGCAGTTGTTGCTTTTTGCCCCTGCAGGGCAGTGTTGTCCTCTGTCATCTTTTCCAGCCCACACACTTCACTGTGGATCTGCTGAGGGATTTCACCCACTTGGGAAACCGTTATGACTCCATCCCCCTGCCTGAGCATGAAAACTAGCCTCTTTGTTCACATAAATCTGGCCAGGCCTGTTCGGTGGACGGCATAATCCAGATTTCACTCTTGTTTTTTTGACACTGCTGCTCGCCTCGGACAGCACAGAGCCTCTGTGGCAAACAGAAATGTCAAATATTTAAAGCTCGAGAAAGCAGGTTCGGAGTGGCCTCAGCAGGACAATGAACCTACTTGAAATGTGTAATTGCTTGTTTTTTGTACCAATGGATCTCCTCTGCAGATATATTCAACATATCTGTTTATTACCCTCATATATTTCCAAAAACAAGAACCAGAAGTATATTTAGATGCTATTTTAGGTTTAATATCCTTCAACATTCTCCCCAGAACAGCCTCTGTCACCAGCAGCAATTAAATAGGAGGATGATTCACTGTGGAAAACTTGACTGAGCCATAGTTAGTAAACTATGGGTTCCACTGCGCCAACAACTTCTTTCTTGAATCAGCAGTTAAACCCTTTGGAAAATTCAGATGACTTGTTAATTGTACCAGACCAGAAAAAAGCAGTTTCACATTATTTTATTGTTCAAATACTTTTAAGTAATCATATTTTTCTCATACAGATGGTAAACTTTTAAACAAAACCATAGACGGATGGCTTCATTTCATAATTAGTATTATATTAATATTATTTGGTACATGTAAACTCAACCCCCTTTATGAACACTTTTCCCTCTCTTGTTTACTCTGCAGATCCTTGTTCACGTGCCTCATTGTGATCAGTGCCGTCAGGAGGCAGCACATGAACAAGACGGGGAAGGATGCACAAGCCCACCACAGCTGCCTTTCTCCAAATACTTCCACCACTGTATCCCTCCGCCTGGCGTAGTCCTGGAACAGAGCCTCCAGCTGGAACACGGTACACAGGGACAGAAACAGGTGAAAGATCTGGTGACCTTGGCCCACAAAGTCACACTGGCCTGGGAAGAAGCGCTCGGGGATGGGGCAGGAGAAGAAGATGACGGACAGCAGGAAGGTGGCGATCTGCAGGGCGTGGAAGGGCTGCGAGGGCTCCTGCGTCCAGGAGACGGCAAGCAGGCGGTGGACTACAGGGCTGATGTCCAGCAGATACGCCAGGCTGGTGGGGATCAGCTGGCAGATTTTACGCCGCAGTGGATATGGCCGTCTGTACCTGGACTTGGCAAAACAGCAGCCGGCGCAGGAGAGCCACCCAAAGAAGGCGGCTCCGGGTAGAAACAGCAGTCCGACGCTTTCTCTCCAAGCCGGCTCCGACGTGTAGAAATAATGACCAAGTGAGCAACCGTACTGGTAAACGGCTACACCAACATAGTCCAGGAAGAAGAAGAAGTAGTGCGCGTGTTCGGAGTGAGACTGCAGGAGGTGAGCTGCCACGCTGAGGCACAGGTAGCTGAGCGCCGACACCAAGAAGAGGCACAGAGGTAGAAAGGCTGCGTCCAGGGTGAACCCCAGGGCGCTGACATTGGCCCACCAACGAAGCAGCAGCACAGGACCGGCCAGCAAGTGAGTCCACACGTTCAGGGACTCGTTGTGCCGCTGGAAGATGCTGAAGAGGTAGCAGCGCCAGTCTTGCCGGATGGGACGGTAGCCTGACAGAATGTAGGGCTCTCGGAAGAGGCTGGGGACCTGGGAGACGGTGACGGTGGGGCTGGGCGACGGCAGAGAGGACGGGATGAGGTCTGAGAGGCGAGGGAAGCGGCCGAGGTGCTTGACGCTCAGGGTCAAGGTGCTGAGCCGCTGCAGGGAATCAGCAGACATGACTTGGCGATGGAGAGGACACCCTGTGGAGGACAGTAAATTATTAAAGAGGGAAAATCTGATAGATTCATGGTTAGTGTACTTTAAAATGTCCCCAGCCTCACCCGGAAATAAGGGCGTAAGTCCCATTTTGAGGCATAACTGTTCTCTGTAAAGCCTTATATTACTGTGCACAAAAACTCAAACATTTGTTGTCATTTCTTTCAAGGAAAGGAAAACTTTGAGAGTTATGGGTACTTCAAAATGTTTTCTGCTTCACCTGGAAACAAGGGGTGTAACTCACAGTTTGTGGCATAAATGTACTCTATAAAGCTTCATATCAGTGTGCAGAAAAACTCAAATAGTTGTCGTCATTTCGTTGCAAGGAGAGGAAAGTTTAAGAGTAACCATTATGGGTACTTCAGAAAGCTCTCAGCCTCACCTGGAAGCAAAGGGCGTAACTCCTATTTTTGGACAAAACTGTATAGTCTTATATCAAAGTCCACAGAAACTCAAATGTTTGAACAATCAGAGCAAAATAGACAGGAAAACCTGGAGGTGGTGTATTGTTACTCCAGGACAACGCCCCTGTCCATTCAGGGGACACCGTCTGAGTGCCTGATCAGGTAAGGTTCATAGGGCAACAATTTAAAGCCACATGTGGCTGCTTCTGCCAGCTGTGCTGTGTAGACAGACGAACTGTCCTGGAGCAACATCACGCAAACTCATTTTCATCTCCTTTTTTCGTTGATTGGTTCAAAACATTTCAGGTTTTGTGGACAGCGATATAAGGCTTTATAGTAAACAGTCTAACCCTAACCCTTGTTTCAGGTGAGGCCAAGTACTTTTCAAAGTATCAAATGAGCCCCTATAATGTACTGCAGCCTAATGAGAACCCACAGTGTGTTTTTATGTGGTGAATTCATTTTTGGAGTGCATCAATCTGCTCTGTGAGGTACAAAGGTGGGGATAGGATGAGAGAGAATCAGGAGAGAGTGAAGTCTGAGCTTAAGGGGGATTAAAACTGAAAGTTAATAAAAGCCGCACACAAACCAGTGAGAAACACACTGTGGAATTTCTATACGCAGATTAACAAACCGACACTGGTTTTGCGAGCTCTGAAAACCTGCAGCTGCATTTCTGTGTTTTTACATTCATCTTTAAGGTATCTGCACCATGTACAGCATGTTGGCGCAGGTTTTGAATTGAGTCTCCTGGCAGATTAACTGCAATTAAATAAATACACACCACAAGAAAACACACTTGATCACAACAGACAGACATTCTTTTCATTCACAAGCCACCTAGTATGGAAAAGCAGGTCGCCAAACCTGAAAGATAACCACCTCTCCTGCACATCTGTACAAGTAGAAGAATGTAAACTACTGTTGTCACACAGTAAACGAGCACCTATGGAGACAGCCAGACAAACACCCACCAATCTGAACACAGTTTTCAGCACAGCTTCTCCTCAAGGGTGCGTCCTAACCACTCCTTCACCCCCCTCTATTGTTTGGTGCCACTATATTCTTGACACCAAGCCTTTGACCCAGAATCCCTGCAACTATGTAAATCCCCTCAGATATAACAGACGTTTGAAACTGAGCTGATGCTTACAAACAAGGTGCAATCTTTGGATACATGTAAGAGAAGAAAACAGCTCCATGCGCATGTCCCTCCCATAACTCGCAAATAAAACTAATGTAGGAAGTGGAATTCTCTTAAATTTACTTTAATTTTGCACCGAAGAAGCAGCCCTACGCAGAAAAGCGCACATTTTACGCATATTATCCGACATGGCACAAAAGAAAAAACGCGCAAAGACGCATCATCTCACCTGTTTGCACCGACAGAACACCTGTTGCCCCCCCTGGAGTCGCGCGTCCCTGAGAAAAAAAAGTGAAGACGGAGCGGCTACATACACTAGAGGGTTTGATTTAATAAAAAAAAAAAGTGCACAAATCTGGATAAACTATGGCATGTTTGGATGAGGAGGTGTTTCGGAGGAACAGCGAGGAAAAGGGTAGAAACGCAGCTGACAGGAGAGCCCGAGGAGCAGCGAGGAGGGCGGGGTTAGAGTGATCAGGAACGCCCCCCAGTCATGGTCTGCATGTTGAAACTCGTGTTATAATGGACTATTGTGGTTTGGTAAAGTCTGATAGCAACACAGACTAACGCATTTGATTGAGTTTTTCACTTTATTAAAATGGAAACTTGCAAAAACAAACAAAAAAAAGTTGTTTATTTGGGCTGTTGTTGTTTGTAATGATTAAAATTCTCAGTTATTGTTGCCCAAACTTCCTGAAGGCAGGACATTAAGGTTAAATTTTAACATAATTGGATGACACAGACAAAAAAAGGTAAAATATATATTTAATTCTGCATGTGTGTCTCCATCTGCTGTCCACTGCTGTCCACTGCAGCCATGTTCAGACCACAGCTGGACCTTTGACCCCAGCAGTGAGGAGATGTCATGGTTCTCTTGTACTATGTTTTTAGCTGGGCTCACTTGTTTCCTTACAAGAAAGAGCAACTGCAACTCAGTATGAAGTTTCTCATGATGAAGCAATTCAGAAATCTTATTGTTTAGTCCCCCAAATGAAACAACTAAACCCGTCGATACTCGCCTTAGTTCATGCCAGAAATGTGCGACTTGTTTTTGATTCAGATCTAGGATTTAAAGCACAGATCCAGAAAGTTGTCGAGTCCTGCTTCATTTGGATAAAAAGCATTTCCAAATATGTTTCTCTCTGAATCTGACCTGGAAGAAGTCATTCACGGACTCATTTTCTTAAGATTCGACTCCATCATCCATAAGTCCAACTAGTTCTTACAGACAACATCACATCGTATAGATTCTGGCTTCCCTCCATTGGCTCCCTGCACATTTTAGAATTGACTTTAAGATTTTATTGATCACCTTTAAAGCTCCTCAGGTTCTGGACACAAGCTATATATAAGAGATGCTGACCCCACTGTTGGCAGCCTCAGATCCTCAGGTGAGGCCCTGCTGACTGTTCTAAAGTCGAGTCTTGAATCTAAGTGACCATGTTTTTGTAACGTTTCTTCTTTTAAATTGCTGCTTAAACCCACGTTTTATAGCACTGCTTCTATATAACATTTGTTTTACCATCTTTTACTTTATACTATGGCATTTTTATCGCTTTTAATATTTTATTTGTATGATTGGTGTTTGTTCTGTTCATTTATTTAAATTAAAATTTGCATTTTGTAGCTTTTTCCCTTGTTTAATTCTCCTCCTTTTCCCCTCTCTAGTCTTTTTGTTTGGCCTGACTGGCTCTCTGTTGTAATATTGTCTTCTTTTTTAATTCTTCTTTCAAAGCACTTTGTAAACTCTATTTTTTAAAGGTGCTGCATCAATAAAGTTGGGAATCATATCTTGTAGCCTTCACAGCCACCAGGTCTCAACCCAGCTGAACATCTATGGGAGATTTTGACCTGACGTCTTTGACTTGTCATTGAAACACCAAGTGAAGAGTTTATTTTTAGGAAGAATGGTGTTCGATCCCACCAGTAGAGTTCCACAGACTTTGAGAATCAATGCCAAGGACCACTGAAGCTGTTTGGGAAGATGTGGTGGATGAACAGATTACTAAGATGTTTTATGTTTGTTTTTAATTTGTCCTACTTCTGTAAGCTGATAGGCAGTTTTTTGTTGTTGTTGTTTTTTTTTTTTCTTTAGCAATATGGAATCAATCACCAGATACAATGATAATATGCTGCTGATGAAGAAAACGGAAAGAAAACATATTAAGGAAATGATACAACCCCAAGGCACAGCAGGACACACTAGATCCCGTTAATCATGCTCTCATAATGAAAATGTATCAACACATGCCCTAAAATGACTCGGTGGAAATGTTAATGGAAGCTATTACGATAAGGAAATGATAATTACAGGCCTGCCTATCATTTACATTTCCAACAAATGATGGGCAGAGGTGAAAGAAGTACTTCGACCTTGTACTTAAGTAAAAGTGCGAATACTAAAGTGTAGCAATTCTCTAAGCAAGAGTCATGCATTTACTTTTTCACTTAAGCAAAAATACAAACGCACTGGTCAAAATATACTTAAAATATTAAAAGGAAAAGTACGCTTTATGTTTTGCAGTCTGGAATATTTCAGAATTATTGCTGCATTAATGTGTTTATAACTTGAAGCTGGTAAAGGTGATTTAACTACTTTGTGTAGTTTATCTACTCATTTTCCTCCTCAGGCTTCAATAAAGTTTTATGTTAATCTATAGTATTTTATCACAACGAACTGGTTGATCATATTTTGCACTATTAATATAAATCTGCAAAGTAACTGAAGTTATCAAACATATGAAGTGGAATATGAAGTGCAATAATTGCCTCTGAAATATAGTGAAATAGAAGCGTGTAGTAGTAGAATATGGAAATAGGTAAAGTACAAGTAACACAAAGTTGTCATCGTGTTACTTTGCACCACTAATGATAGGTTTCACTTTGCACAGCAATTATGCAAAGACTACCAGCTTTATGTCAGTGCATTATATCAGATTACATTTATTTTTGCACTAATAGGTATGATCAAAATATGGCAACACTATACTCAGATTATAATGACGGCTACCTGTTATCAGTCACTGTGTTATTTTATTCAGGCGCAACGGACAAATGAACACGACTAAAAAATAGAGAAGGTGAAATCAGCTTTACACATGACAGATATCCATTTGAATTCAAGTGTAATTTCAACATTACTGTGATCAAATAAAAAACATCTTATTCAAAGAGAACACACTTTGCACAAGGCCACACTCTGAACCGAGCGCACGTTACTGAAGTGCAAATCAGCACAAGATGAGCAGCACCAGGCGAAACAGCAAGTGCAGAAATTAATCAATCGCAGCAGAAGAGCAGTGACACTCTTTGTTCTCACTTACTACAAGCAAAAAATGTGTGATTTCAAAGCGAATGGAATTCAAATAGACTATTGAATGGATGTCAGTCAGATCACTGATCTTGATATAGCACATTTAAAACAACAATAGATGAGCCAAAGGGCTTTCCAGTAGAGAAATAAGATTATCATTACAAATGTACCCAACTCATTTAAATAATAAGGTTAAGGCCCTTCAGTATTACATAGGATGCAAATTCACCAACCTAATTTAAATATGAAGGTTAAAATTGCAGATTATAATATATTATCAGATTTACCTGACTAAATATTAAGGATAAGGCCTTACAGCATTATGTAATATACACATTTAACACCCTAATTTTCACATTTAGGTTACTTCCTACTATCTAATATAATATACACATTTAGCACCCTGATGTAGATGTCAAAGTTATGGCCCAACAATATGATATATTATGCAAATTTACCACCTTAAATTAAATATTATGTTCATGGCTCTACAATATTATATATTAAACCAAAATTTCCACGACTTATATAAATATTAAGGTTATGGCCCCACAGTATTCAATCATTTGGATTTTCAAAATGTTAAGGTTCAGGGCCTGCGATATTATATAATAAAATAATGTTTGATAGAAATATAAGGTTAAGGCTCTAGATGACGATATATCACACAAACTGGATTTTTAAAATGTAAGCAATATTCAGACCGAAGAGGAAATAATGTTTTAGTGTTTGCTTGAACAGGGGCGGGACTGTTATGAAATTTATGGAGTTTATTCTGCATCGTTTCTGAGCTACTCTTTCACTTGGCAACCAAATAAACGGACTGATCTCTTTAAATGTGTCTTCTCTCGGTTGAGATGATGTCATGTTTTCACACAGTTTGCAGAGTAAAAATAACAACTCTGTTTGTGGCGCCATCTGCTGGAAAACAACGAAAAACCCACATTTATGCAGCTTTTCCTGCTTCATGCTACAGCGCGCCTCTTCCTGTGTGTTTTCGCGGGAGTTTCTTATTGTGGGCGGGGCCGTGTGACGACACGAGGACTCTATTGGACGGCTGTACATTTTACCCGCGGAATACGTAAAGCAGCGAGTGCCGTTTTGACCAATCACCGCTCACGCTGAGCTTGCGGCCGGCACGTAGTGGCGCGAAACTCCGTCAGTCGTGCGGTCGGACGGCAGGAGACACACAGAGCCGAAGTCTGGGCGATATTAGTTTAATTTGAGCGGCTTTAAAGCAGAAAAAGTGATCAGACATGATGTCGACCGATGTTGTAGATGACCGGGAGATGAGGGAGGCCCAGAGGGACTATCTGGACTTCCTGGACGACGATGTAAGTCTCACTTTTATTGTGGAGATGAACTGAGAAACCATGAGGTCACAACAAAAGATCTGGTTAATTTGCAAAAAAAAAAAAAAGAAAAAAAAAACACTTGTAAGAAAATCTCATCAGCTTGCAGAACTCTGATGCTAACAGCACGCATTTAGGCTAAACTCAGTCTGTTTTAAGTCGTTGTTTAGTTGGTTGTAAGTTTCATTAGTTGGGTTAAAATGCCCCTTTTCCGTCCTCAACCTGCAGCAAGACCAGGGCATCTACCAGAGCAAAGTCCGAGACATGATCAGCGAGAACAAGGCTCGACTCATCGTCAACATCAACGACCTGAGGAGAAGAAACGAGGCCCGAGCTGCCAAGTAGGAAACTCTTTGTTTGTGCAAACTGGTGCATGTGTTCAGTGGATCCTCCTTTTGCTCACTCACTCATTATGATGTGCTTGATCCTCTACAACACTAACTGATGTTTAAAAGCCAGGATGTGAGTAACTGTGATCTTATTTTAGTCTGCTGACGAAAAGGACTGAATACAGTTTTGAGATAGTACCTTACACAAACTTTTAAGACCTTTACTTGTTAGTCAGAAAGTATTATTAGGCCAGAATGAGCCTTTAATATTCTATTTACAGTGGAATAAACCTTCAAAACAGTGACTCGTTAGTTATAAAATACTGTAAGTTTTTACAACTAGAGGTACTTTGACAGAAAATAATACTTTTGGTCCAACTTTTTTTTTTCTGCAATGAAAGTAATTGTAGCTCTGCTCTTGACATTTCATAATTAATCACGCTTTAATGGTTAGAAAGTAGTTTTCTCCTGCAAGTAACAATTGTTTTTATTGCCGATTACTTTCTTGCTTTAATAAATTCGTTATTTGGTTTATAAAATGTTGAAAATGCCCAAGATGGCGTCCTCACAGGTCTTGTTTTGTCCACAACCTACAGATGTTAAGTTTACTGTCAGAGGAATAAGTCATCCAGATGAGATCCAAGTTTAAGATGCTGGAGTCAGAATTTTGCCTTTTTTTTGGTTTTTTTTTTAGAAAATGACTCAAACTGATAATCGAAATAGTTGGCAATTAATTCAACACTGGACAACACATTCAACATGTCAGCTCTAATAGAGGTTCTGATCACACAAAAAAGATGCTCCACGAAGAGCAATAAAGGTCATAATTAAGTCCAAATGGTTTTCCGTCTCTGTCAGGCTGATGAACAACGCCTTCGAGGAGCTGCTGGCGTTCCAGCGGGCGCTGAAGGACCTGGTGGCCTCGGTCGACGCCACGTACGCCAAACAGTACGAGGAGTTCTTCGTGGGCCTGGAGGGCAGCTTCGGCTCCAAGCACGTCTCCCCCCGGACGCTGACCTCCCGCCTGCTGGGCAGTATGGTCTGCGTGGAGGGCATCATCACCAAGTGTGAGTTCAGTCTCGCCACACAGTCTCAAACATAAAGGGAGGGCTGATGATGGTATTAAGGCGCATTTTTCCTCCTCGTTTCGTCCTTGCAGGTTCTCTGGTGCGTCCCAAAGTCGTGCGCAGCGTTCACTACTGTCCGGCCACCAAGAAGACGATGGAAAGAAAATACACTGACATGACTTCCCTGGACGCTTTTCCTTCCAGTGCCATCTACCCCACCAAGGTAAACACGAGGGCTCTGAAGAAGACCTAGCAGTGTTTAGAACAGGCTGTTTGCACAATAAAAGGCTGTAAATCAAGCGCTGTGCTTTAAAATCCGTTGTCTTCGAGCTAAGAAGCACCAGTTCCAGCTGCATTTTGCTGGAAGATGCACAGAGATTCAATGTAAAGCTGCATTAATTTATGTAGCGTGCTGAACAAATTTATCAGATCACCACCCAGTGTCAGGTTTATGCCACAACTGCCCTAAATTAACAGCATTGCTAATTACCAAAATCATTTCTTGTGTTTTTGTATCGGTTAATAAACCAGTATGTAGAAGCTTTGTAACCAAAATGATAGTTTTAATGGGAAAATATATTTATTATTGTGATCCATGAATTTTCAAAGTCACTATTTTATTTAAAAAAAACAAAAAAAACTGAAAAAATAGTAAAGCACATTATTATTTCTTGATTAAGTTGTCAGATTATAGATATTTACTTGCATTCCTCAACAGAAAAATTAGTTTTAGTGGTTGAATGTTATGGTTGATTCATTTCTGACTGATCAGAGAAGCCCAGAAGGAAAAAAAGTGAATTCAGTGTAAAATTCGTCATTATATTTATGTAGATAACCTTTTTTTTTTCTCACTCTCTGACATGAAATGTGACTAAACCTTTCCTGTTTTAGGTCTGGTAGGATTAGCAAAATTATTTCTATTTGTTAAATGCCAGAGTTATAATAGAGAGAACTTTTTATTACTTTCTTCAAAGTCTCCATCCACTAACATTAATGTGTCCAGATGATGATGTGATGTATGTGTTTCAGTGCTTAACAAATTATTTATATGGAATCTTTAGAAGGATTTTGCAGATGTAACCAGCCAAGAAATGCTTCATATAATAACATGTCTTTTTTTTTTCCCTCCCTCCTCCAGGATGAGGAGAACAACCCTCTGGAGACGGAGTTCGGTCTGTCCATCTACAAGGACCACCAGACCATCACGGTGCAGGAGATGCCAGAGAAAGCTCCCGCCGGGCAGCTTCCTCGCTCTGTGGACATCATCCTGGACAACGACCTGGTGGACGTGGTCAAACCAGGAGACCGAGTGCAGGTCATCGGGACGTACCGCTGCCTGCCTGGCAAGAAGGGAGGATTCACCTCGGGCACGTTCAGGTGAGATGGAGCAAACTGTTAGTCGTCGCTGTGTAACTTAAACACTAGTGTTTGTCCGTATTTTACAAATGATATCTCTCTCTTTACAGGACCATCATGATTGCCTGTAATGTCAAACAAATGAGCAAAGACGTGTCCCCGTCCCTGTCTGCTGACGACGTGGCCAAAATCAGGAACTTCCGTCAGACTCGCTCCATAGTAAGACTCCAGCCTGGTCACAGCTTTGTGAACATTTGAACCTCTTGCTGCCATGTGCACATCTGATCGGTTAAACTGAGAATCTGTGCCACATATCGTTGGAAACCATTCGATTCCAACAGGAGACACAAACAGCATCTCTGAACAATTACAAAATAGAGGTGAATCAGCTGAGGAGAGTCACGTTCATCCACTAGTTGTTACATCAGTAAAAAAGTACAAGCACTGTGTGTTTGTGCTTCAGTTATTCATCAGCAAATACTGATGGTGAATACAAACATGGAGGAGACACCTTCAAGTGTCACCTTTCATCACAACCTGAAGTCATTCTGTACATTTAAGACTAGAAGCCAGATCATTTTGTCACATTTACCAAGAACCCTTTTGGAGTCTCCAAATTTCCTTAAATTTTCTGTTCTATTGTTTGGAAATTTGAGCTTGGTGTAGCTGAAGCTTCATGCTGTGGTGGTTTTGTGCATTCCAGCAAATGGAGGCAATTTTTATCTGCAGGCATCAGTTTGGGGGGAAAAAAGACAAATCAGGCGAAATAAAACCTTCTGCTTCAGTTTAGTGGCAGTAGCACTTAAAATGATTCAGCCTGTTGGCAGTAGAAGACCTCAGTGATACCTTTGAGCTCGCTCTGGCCTTGGATTGGTGTTTGCAGGCTACTTTTACAAGAACGGTAATGGCTTTAACTGAGAATTAAATCTGTCTGTTTGCTTTTCACTTAGAATGTGTTCGATCAGCTGGCTCGCTCTCTGGCTCCCAGCATCCACGGCCACGAGTACATCAAGAAGGCCATCCTGTGCATGTTGCTGGGAGGCGTGGAGAAGGTTCTGGAGAACGGCTCCAGAATCAGAGGAGACATCAACATCCTGCTCATCGGTACCACAGACGTTTTCCTTCTCTTTGAGTCAAGAAGCTTGAATTTAAATGTCAGTAGACGGTGTTTCAGATCAGCCGTTTTACATATTTGTGTGTTCTACTTTTCCAGGCGACCCGTCGGTGGCCAAGTCTCAGCTGCTGCGTTACGTCCTTCACACGGCGCCCAGAGCGATTCCCACCACCGGCCGAGGCTCATCCGGCGTCGGTCTGACTGCTGCTGTCACCACTGATCAGGAGACGGGTATAGTTTGTTTTCTATTAACTCTCAGAGCCAGTTCCAAATTCAGATTTCCTCTTCTCAGCTGGAAATATTTACTGTAGTGAGGTTTAGCACATATCAAATATATAATAAACAATTCTAGTTGCTTGCCTGTGTGGAAAAAATGTCGGAGTATAAAAATCATTTTGAATTTAGGTTAAATTTAATCATATTTACAACCTGTGGACAGCTTATCTCAGCATCCATTAACCTTGTTTGACATATTCATGAACTCGTCATTGCAGTGATATTTTAATACTGGATCACAAGAAAGCGCAGAACCGAAGCTTTGTAAATATGTATGTTAGATATTTGTACACACCAGTGTTGCCTTTTAAAGACAGATCAACTTCTGGATAGTTATGTATTAAGTTGCTAATACATTTTTAGCCTCGATGATGAAATGCTTTACCATCTGGATAAAATGGATATAATCACCAAGATCAAAGTTTAAAAGAGTTTAGCATCACAGTCACACCTCCTTATTAGATACAATGTGATTTTTTTCAGTGATGCACGATATTAGAATTTCTGGCCGATACCGATATTATGATTTCTGATATCGCAATAATTGATACTACCGATGTCGATATTCAATTTTTTTGTTCACACCGAAAAATGGGTATAAGTTAGCACTGTGAGAACGTGAGAACTATTAAACTACTGTTATAAAGAAGCCCAAACCAAAGTAGACCACATAGTCTTCTTTATTACGTAACAAAAGTAAAACATATTTTAAAATTTTTTAACATATTTAACATTCAAGTCCAGGACTATTTCAGTAAAAATATGTGTGAAATAGCAGCAATATCAAATGTAGAGACGAAGGCGCTAATGTTAGATAATCACATCGGCTAAATTTGTTCATCGGACTGATACCGATATATCGGAAAAAAACACCATCGGCCAATACAGGGTTAGGTCGATATATCGTAAAAATCCATAAATTGGCCGCATCATTGTTTAAGCTGCAGTGTTCCAAGCGAAAAAAAGTGAAAAAAGTAGCGGCTTATAGTCCAGAAATTACGGTACTGTAGTTAACATTAGTTCAACAACAGACGAGCACAAATACTGTCGCTTATCAGTCCATCGTGCATCCCTATTTCATTTATTTTTAAAGAATATTCTTATGTCTTTCTGTTGCACAGCTTCTAGTCTCTTTTTGCATTTCACTATACAGACTGTATAAACATTTGACGAATCAAAACTCTTCAATCTTCTCTCTTAAAAGTAAAGTTTCTGAAATTAACCTTAAAACAGGTCTTTGAAACAGTTGATACACCGTCTGTGTTTGTTTTTTTCCTCCGCCAGGTGAGCGCCGTCTGGAGGCGGGCGCCATGGTGCTGGCCGACCGCGGCGTCGTGTGCATCGACGAGTTCGACAAGATGTCCGACATGGACCGCACGGCCATCCACGAGGTGATGGAGCAGGGCCGCGTCACCATCGCCAAGGCCGGCATCCACGCCCGACTCAACGCTCGCTGCTCCGTGCTCGCTGCTGCCAACCCCGTCTACGGCAGGGTGAGTAACCGTTCAGACGCACCCAACCTCCCTTTTTTCTTTTTAACCCGCCTGCTGAATGTAGACGTCTTCTGTTCCCTGCAGTACAACCAGTATAAAACCCCCATGGAGAACATCGGCCTGCAGGACTCTTTGCTGTCGCGTTTCGACCTCCTCTTCATCATGCTGGACACGATGGACCCCGAGCAGGACCGCGAGATCTCGGACCACGTGCTCAGGATGCACCGCTACCGAGACCCCCACGAGCAGGAGGGAGCAGGTGCTGAACATCAACAAAGAGCTCCAGCTCCATAGTGTTTGTGGCTTTTTAGTCTGTAATTCTATAAAATATCTTACATTTATGTGTGTTTTATTCAGCCATGGCTCTGGGTGGGACAGTAGACGTTCTGGCTACAGAAGACCCAGATGCAGTAGTAGAAGAGCAGGAGGAGCTGCAGATCTATGAGAAACACAACAACCTGCTGCATGGAAGCAAGAGGAAGAAGTAAGAGATAAAGACATGTGGATCAGTCCGTCTCAAATCGTCACGTTTTTAGAACAGTTTCTGCTCGACTGTCTCTGATTTGACTAAAATTGTGCTGAATATTTTAAATATGAAGGTAAAATTTCAGATATCCTTTTAAATATCCAGAGGTTATGATAAAAACAAAGAGCTGGACCAACCCCGATACCCGTTTTCTTTCCTCCACAGCTTCTATAAAACCAAAGCTTTTCCATGACTGTGTGCGAAAGACCAAAACGGTTCTCTTCTTGTTTCAGGGATAAGATCGTTAGTAAGGAGTTCATGAGGAAGTACATCCACATCGCCAAGGCTGTGACGCCTGTGCTGACGGAGGAGGCGGCCAATCACATCGCTGAGGAGTACTCGAGGCTGAGGAGCCAGGACCAGCTGGGTGCTGATATCGCCAGGGTGAGCATGTGTAGACAAGCAAGGGATGCAAATTCATTCATGACGGTCGGCCACATTAACAACCGATAATCTGATAAATAAAATACAGAGGATGTTTTTCCAGGTGCTGATGAAAACCTTTTTTAACCAATGACACTTGATGTTTGTCAGGAAAATCGGCTCAGTTACGTCAAAAAACAAAGATTGCTCAAAATAATTTAAATAATTAAAATCAAAATTGCTATTTAACAATCGGTCTGGTAAAATCCAAGGACAGCAGTTTTTCACAGTAAATAACTTGTAGCGTTAATTTCTTCACAACCGTTTGATATCAAAGTAATCCTCATCTCTGATCTACACGATAAAGTGACTTGTTCATGTTTACCGTAATTTTTGGACTATGAGCGCACCTGAATATAAACCTCACCCACTAACTTAAAAAAAAAAAGTGTGTGTACATCTATAGGCCGCACTTGTCTATAAGCTGCAGGTGTCCACGTTGTAACATGAGCTATTTACACAATAAGATTTTTGTAACTTTTAATTAAATGCGTATCTGTAACATACACAAATACGTACCGTAAATGCTTTTTTCCGAACAGTGCCTGTAACACGGCTGGTTAGAAAAAAAAATTTAAAAATACAGTATTCTACCAGGAAAAGTCATTGATCGCTATCTTCATCTTCCTCCTGCGCACTACAACCACTAAAGTCGTCTTCTTCAGAATTACTTCGTCACACACTTCCTCAGTCTCTCTTTCGTTGTTGCTCTCACTTTCGTCTTGAGGTAAACTCGTAAAAGTCCACAAATTAGCCGCATCATTGTTTAAGCCGCAGTGTTCAAAGTGTGTGAAAAAAGTAGCGGCTTATAGTCCAGAAATTACGGTACTGCAGTTAGCATTAGTCCAACAATAGACGTGCACAAATACTGTCGCAGCAACTTTATCAGTCCAGGAAATCTGCCAGCACTTGCTGCCACCACCTCTAAATCGTATTTATACTTGGAGCAGAGCGTTGCACAGACACTTCAGTAATGTTGTTGGGAGCATGTAGTCAGAGTTCTGCTGCTCCTGAATGTTTAAGCAGCTGTGTTAGCGTTTGAAAATCCTAGCTTAGCAGTAGAGTCGGGTTGCTAGCTAAAACAAAGAGCCTTTTTCTCAGGTTTATGCTGCATCAACACAGAAGTTAGTAGTTAAACAGAAGGGAGGTGCGCTCGTTTTATACGACTCTGACGGGCGGTCAGCAAACACACCTGTAACTCTGTAAAATGAGGTTCTACAGCAAATCTATGATAAAAATGCACATCAATCATCTTCTGCCTTATTTGTTGATATATTTTCAGATCAGTATATTTATTCATGAAACTTAAATAATTCCTAATTAATCATCAGTTGGACGAAAATATGCAGGGCACAGGAGTTGGAATTGGTTTTGGCTCACAGTAAAGATGATTTAAACTTGGTCAGAAAGACACATGCTGTTATGATTTATTCTTTTACAAACCTCACATGATTTGATGTGACATTTTATCGCACATCGTAGTAGAAGTGAATCAGATATGCAACCTGATGTGTCCAGATTGTGTGAGCTCACTCAACCTCGTTCCGTCTTTCTCTTCGCCACAGACCTCCCCGGTGACGGCTCGTACTCTGGAGACTCTGATCCGTCTGTCCACAGCGCACGCCAAGGCCCGCATGAGCAAGGCCGTGGAGATGCAGGACTCGGAGGTCGCAGTGGAGCTCGTCCAGTTTGCCTACTTCAAAAAGGTCGGCCTTGCTTTTTCTCCGACCAGGTTTTATCCGTGCAACAGACTGAGGCGGTGTCCGGTGATGTGCTGATGAACTCCTGCTTTTCTTGTAGGTTCTGGAGAAAGAGAAGAAACGCTCGAGACAGGAGCGCGACTCTGGCTCAGAGGAGGACGAGGATGAGGAGGCGACGACGCAGCGTTCACAGAAAACTCAGAGGAAGAGGTAGACACATTCCCCCCTACCTCTGTATGCACACAGTAATGAACAGCTGCAGGTTATCGGGATTAAAGAGATTTTTAAAGATGCTTATGTTGCTCGATCAGTAGTAACTGTGCTTTTGTGTCCTGCAGGGGGCGTCGTGGATCTCAGGGCAGTGAACCTTACAGTCCATATGACTTCAGTGAGGAGCAGGAGGTCCCTGAGAGTAAGAATCCTCTTCCCACGCTGTTTCAGCCTTTTACTTTCTGAATGACTAAAAAGTTTAGGACGAGAAACTCATGATCTAAAACTAGTTTCAAGGACTTTCTGTGTAAATTCGAGTTCTCATTTTGGTCTTTATGCTCTGCAGTTCAGGCCGGCACTCCGAAACCAGCCAAACCACAGCGAGATGAGGAGCCAATGGAGGCGTCCTCACAGGCTGGAGACGCCGAGCTGTCTGCAGAGAGGTGGGTGACTGAACTCTGCAAGGGTTCAGCGTGCGATAATAATTCATGATCAATGCTAAGTCTGAAGGTGAGGAGGACTTCTTGTAGTTGGCACATGAAATGAGACCTTTCCTTGTTTCTTCCCTCAGACTGAAGGAGTTCAAGTCCTCCCTGTTCGCCGTCTTCCAGTCCGCTCACGCTCAGTCGGTGAAGATGACGACGCTGATGGACGACGTCAACAAGGAGCGGCAGAATCGGTTCACGGAGCCCGAAGTTCGCACCGCTTTGGCTCGCATGCAGGACGACAACCAGGTCATGGTGGCTGACGACATCATCTTCCTCATCTGAGGGGGGAGCTTTGACTGTTTGACAAAGAATCTATTACATGGACTTGTGACGAAGCAGTGGATTTATATCAAAATGCACATTTCTCTTTTTTCCACAACATGGTGGCCCCCCTGCTATACCTATATCTGCTGTCCCACCAATTTGCATGCATTTGCAGGTTGTTCCTCTTGTTTGCAAGCAAGAGCAGTTCAAATAGATCAGGTCTGACTCATTTATGCACTTGTTGTTTAGGGTCAGTTGTGGTAATGTTACTTTATAGTGTCCTCATACAACGTATCAACAGTCTTGAACATCTTTTATCATCAATAAGGACATTGTAATGTTGTGTTACCTTCTTTTTTGTTGTCTGATTTCTGTATATAGTTTTGAAATTGACTGTAGTTGTGTATTAAAAAAAATAAAATGTCATGCTTTGGTAAAGTACAGGACTGCTGCGGTTCTTTAAGTGATGATGCTGCAACATGAACTGGTCCAGATGTTCAGTACCTTCCAGTACCATCTGGGGGGAATCTCTGCATGTCTGATGCCAGTAAGTAAAACTCCGGTCGTATTTTACGCTTTTGTGACAGTATAGTTAGTTGGAAGGATGGTCTGCAATGCAGGGGAAATGTGTGGTTTCCCAGAAAGAGGTGTTCTCACATGAGCGAACGCTTCCTGTAAACACACTAGTACGCAATCAGGAAGAGGTTTGAAGTTCCCAATTAGA